ATTTCAAGTCATAAAATTGCATTCCACAATTGACAATTCACATAGAGACGATAGAAGAGAATTCAAAGGAATAAGACAAAATATTACACGCACCAGAAGTAGACCCTGCAATACTACACAGTAGAGAAGAGGGACAACAGGCTGCGGACAAACCATAGCAATCATTGGCATTGGTTACCATCGTAGAGTCAGTCTTGTCCATTTCAGTGTCATTGAATGAAGTAGCATTGATGTCATCAAAATTATTATCTGATGATGAAAGTGAACAAAGAAATAATTAGAAGAATGCAAATATAGGTTAGGTGGTGGTTGGAGTATATTTTTCTACTCCTAAACACAGCATATTCTCCAACCACCCCCTGCACCATTTCGAAATATGTTGGTTCTTTGATGTCTCCTTACAAAATGTCTCGGAAACGTAATAAACGACAATGGAAAGAGTCGTCTTTGAGGTAAATTAAAGATTGATAAGAGAAGAAAATAAAAGAAAAAATAAATCACAATTAATGAAGTAAAGCAAATTGCGGAAACAATGATTTTTTTTATACTGATCGTTGAATCATCCTAGCGGAAAGCTTTGAAGATATTGAACATTTTTAAGGAGCAATGTAGTCACTAACATTTCCGATTTTAAATGATTTTAAAGGCATTAACATGTCCAGAGTGCGAACTTCGCACGTTCCTATCTCTTTGAGTCTTAGAGAACCTTAGGTTGATTTGAAGCTCAGTCAAAAGGGTCCAGATACTGGAGGTTTTATAGTCAAGTTCAAAAAACCTATGGTACTTCTGAGAACCTGTTACTTCTGAGAACCTGTTACTATCAGCAACCCCTGTGTAGAACACCAACATCATATTCAAAATTCTAGCTTCTTGGTAGTCAAAATGAGAACGTTTAATAACCTGGTGATCAAAAACTAATAAATTAGCATAAGGATTTGGAGTGGATAACCAATTGTAAGTTTGGAATTTTATCAGGATATATTGTTATACATATGTCAAATATTTCACTCTTATTAAATCACGCTTCCCATTCAATTTAAAATGTTAACCAACATCCCAAGCCCCCTTTAAAAAAAAAACGTGACATATTCTCTTTATTGTAAATAAATTGTATTGTATACTTCCTATAACGTCAATTGATTTATTTACAATATCAAGTGGTTGTTTTTCAACTCTCCCTCTCAATTGTAATCGACCAAAATTAAAGCCAAACATCATAAAACGAAGGTGGTAACATTACGACAAGAAAAGTGACAAGAAAAGCGTACCGGAGAAAAGTGGGTCACAAATATAAAATATAAATTCAAACACAACATACGATACACGATATACAAGAAATAAGATATAACATTGACAATGAAAACATAAAGTAATTAATTTTTATTGCATTGCTGCATTCCTTGCCATTTCTTCATATTCAATTGAAATTGTGACAAAACAAAAACATTGTCTTCACGACATAAATTGTTTTGCAAAGATTTCTAAATGATAATTATGAACGTTGAATATTGTACGTAATGGCTCAAGTGCATCAAATGACATCCGCATTCATTAATACAACTGTAGTACCCCTAAAATTTAGTTGAAATCATTAGTTTATCCGCTATAAGATACGAGAAACATTAACAATCTAAAGCAATCCTTGATTTGTTTGTTGTGAAATTTTGATTCTATCTTTGATCGGTAACCCAACTTGGACAAACCTGCCTGCCAGTCGATGCACCTTTGTCTCCCAATGGCGTCAATTTTTACAGAAATCTGGAATTTTCATAATCTGCTCACTTCTACATTTCTAATTCATTTTTTGTCATACAGAATATTGTAATTTTTTGTTATTCTAGAATTGCAACAATATAAGTATTGTATTTGCATTTGCGATTTCAGTAATTACCATTCACAAGTAACCTTCCGTTGTTAATAACACTAATGATAAGCAAATTAATAGGATTTAATTTCATTTGTTTGACCACAATTCATTTAGAAAAAAAACTGATGACGTAAAGATGTGAACAGATTGTACATCTGTAATTAATATTCAATGGGGGCAACACTGGATTACAAAAATATAATAATTATTCAATTGTGATATTAAGACAAAAACTCAACACAACGGAAAGAGTGAGACCACTCCACTGAGGCTATTATCTCGATTACTCCCTAATACTTTCCAAAACCAGAAAAGTCGTCTGCTCAATTATGAGAATCATATCGTACTTTTTTGTTTGGAGGCGCTATTTTGTTGACACCACTAACCGAACCTACGCAAAGTACGAAAAGGGAAAACGTCACTAGACACTTCCGCCCGGACGTCATACGACCTAAAAGATTATCAATTAGCAAGTATTCGTTAAAGTGTCTTGTGGGACATCGATATAGTAGAAATTCGTACGTTTCCGCATCTTGTTCATCCTCACATAGGTAACAGTTATCCACTTCATTAATATCCCATTTTGTAAAGAGAGACTTGATCCTACAATGATCTGCAATGAACTCTATCATTTAATTAAGGTGACCATACGACCTCTTTTTTAAAGGACAATAATCTATTTTAACTGGCTGTCATTTATAAAATGTATGCCCTCTACCTGTCATCTATTTCTATTGTATGTCATCTTTGCCATCTATATTTTTACGAATTGAGATAGATCGTCTGCAGGCAGGTCAAGTTCGATGATGGGGCTATATCGGCCCACGTTTAGGCATAGCCCCATATAATGTTACCGCACAATTTTCGATATTTTGGGGTTCTTGAGCGCGTTTTTCAACCGAATTCGATGAAAGTTGGTACATTGGGTTCTTTTTGGGTACCAAATGGCTCCACTACAAATTATAAATATCGGTCCACTTTTTCTGGTATCCCCAATTTACGATATTTTAGCGTTTTTCAACCGAATTCGCTGAAATTTCGTACCATGGGTTTTTATTTGGTACCAAATTTCTCCACTAAAAATTATAAATATAGGTCCATTTTTTTCGGGTAGCCCCCATATAAGGGCACCCTCAATTTTCGATATTTTGGTATTCTTGAGCGCGTTTTTCAACCGAATTCGCTGTAATTTGGTATTTTGGTAAAAATTATTAATATTCGCCCCAGTTTAGGGGGAGTTGCCATATAACCCCCTTCTTATATTAAAATAGTAAGCTGATTAATTCCGTGTGTAGGGGTTGTCTTCATATAGGCGTATTATACCATAGGGTATAGTCGTTAATCGAAATAGTCAATTATGGAATTCTAAAACGATTTAGCCATCGTTTGTAAGCATTCCGCTTTCTAAGGAAATCGTGATAAAAAAATCTCGAACCTGACGATAATGAAATATATCGGCCAACATTTAGTCATCTCCCCGATATAATTATACCTCCTGAAGGAAAGAATTGGGACACAAACCAAAAATATTTCGAAATTTACATATATTGACAATGGGTCTGAACCCCTCCAACGGAATAGATGTTAAGATATCATTAAGCTAGTACATTGTTAGTTTTAAGCTTTTAGAGTAGTCTATATTTTGTTGTTTTTTGAGCGTCCTTTGGGCTAGATTCTCGTTTATAAAATAAATTGAATGAAAAAAATATGTCGGTCTTTAATTAGGCATAGCCTTCGTATAATTATAACCCCAAATATTCGCTAATTCCTACACTTTATAATCTAAATTGCAGTAGTTTGAGGATTGTACGCTTTGGGGGTTTCATTACAAATTGCTGAAATTTTATTTGGTGTACACAATGGTTTACATAAACCAGTTTGTAGAATTATCGGTATAGGTTCACTTTTTGGTGTGTTCCCTATATTTTCATTTTTCATCCAAAGTTCGGCCCGGCCGAACTTAACGCTTTTTCTCTTGGAAAACCTGGTCGAAATATGTATACAGTAAAAACTCGCTAATCCGGATAATTGATTGCAGACCCCAATCCGGATTACCGAGATTTCCGGATTATCGAGTTTTATTAATTGGTTTAAATTTATATTAATTTGGTGACAATTTAATTATTTTTATGTTTTTATTAAACATGAAAATTATTCATTTCAAAAATATGAACTTTGAATATAATAGGCACCATTTTCAATTAAATTGGCAACGATTTTTTTATTAAAATAAAAAGTAACGTATCTTTACAATCCGGATTTTTGAGTCAAATAGGTCAATCAATCCGGATTATAGGATACGCAATGGGTTGTGAAATGCAGTCCGGATTACCGAATAATCCGGATTGTCGAGGTCCGGATTATCAAGTTTATACTGTACTTTTTTGCTATGTTCCTTAAATAAAGATCCCAAGATTATTCGCTTAGGTCCAAAAATTTGGCACGGTTGTAATTAACGATTTTTTAACTCATTTTATATATTTTTTAGTAAATCAAAATGTACGTTTTATACACATATTATATTTTTATTAAAATATATATATTTTTTGTTTTGTCATCTATTTTTATTTTCAAAATCTGTTCGGTTTAATTTAATATTCATGCAAATTACTAACTATTAATCGGCAGAAATCTGAACTCTTCTTTTACGGGTTTCACTAATACTACAGAAGAAAAAATGTTTTTTTTTTAATTACTATAATATTTGTTTAATGTCGCCACCAAGAGACTAGAGACATTTCTCCCACTAGACCAACCATTTTTCACTTGGAGTAATACTTTTTAGCGTGTGTAACAGTGAAAAAATCACATATGCACGTGCATATAGTATCTCGCTCATTACAATTACCTTGACCCTACATAAACTTTTCAAGTTCAAATGGCTTTGACACGCAATTACAATACTACAAAATGTAATGACCACAAAGCTATGAAATATTTACATGAACAAAATAAAAAAAAAAAGAGAACAATTTGTTTCTGTTGCTCACATTAATTAGCTGTTCGATTTTTTTTTGTTCTTGTAAAAACTTGATGTAAAAATTGCGTTTATTTTTTATTGTTTATTCCATATTTTATACAACGGCAATAATATTAATTTCCTTTTTTCATTACCTTCTTTTGTTCTTTACAGATTTGGTTCGGCCAGCAGCCAGGCGTCACAGAGCAGCGGTGACATCTGTCGCATTTGTCATTGTGAAAGCGATCCACAAAATCCACTTTTAACACCATGCTATTGTTCCGGCAGTCTCAAATATGTACACCAGGCATGCCTGCAACAATGGTTGACTGCTTCCGAAACAAACTCCTGCGAATTATGCAAATTTCCCTTTATAATGCACACCAAAATCAAGCCATTTAATGAGGTCAGTTGGAATACCTGTTTAAAAATAATACAATTTTAAGACAAAAAAAAAAAACAATAATTCACATTTATACCGAAAACTCATCCTTACATAAAATCATACACGCACACACACACACCGAGATAGAAAGTACATGAACACAGTCAAAATGAGTATATTGGACATTGCTCCTTGCTGTTCGATATAAGTAAATAATTCAACAGCCTGTCCGGAATTTTTGACTTGAATTGTGAAAAGTTTGGCGTTGACAGGTGAATGAAGTAAACGGAGAGAGATAATTACTTAACGAACGTGCATTATGGACTTGGTTATTTCATGTTAATATTTCTATTTTTTCTGAAATATTTTAATTTTGTTTTATAAACAATTGGAATTGTAATTCTTTGGTAAAGTAGAAAATTAATGAGAAATCAACAAATGCAACATTTCTTTCTAGATCAATCGACTGTATTTCCCTCGAGCAAGCGATTTATATATAACACAATAAAGTCAAACGAAGTTGCATATATAATATGTAAATACGCGACTGAAATGATGATGCTTATATTCCGATTTACGTGTCCTTTGGAACATCTATCATACACATCCTATATTGCCAACCTCAAATTCTGCAATCAGTTCGATCGTATTTTCAAAAAAAAAAAAAAAAGAGAAATGCTTGTTTTGTTTGTGTAGGTGAACATTCAGAACACAATAATCGATCCCGCCTCCCTATTGAATTCATCCGTATATATTGCCAGACGATTCAGATGTGGTGTCACTGCTTGTGATGGTTTTAATGTAATCAAAATTAAGGTACAACCTGGTGTAATTTATATTATACAGCATATTGAAGCGTTCTGCCATATTTAAAACATTAACATGCCCAAAACGTTAGGTCCTATTTCCCTGACGTAACATTGAACATTTCAATGTTCAGAGGTTCAGAATAATTTGAAACGTGCCTTTGACCTTTCCTTGTCTGTTTCGTTGTCATTAATGTGTGAACATTGTATTTAGTTTCCTTGAAGAAATTTCTAAATTGCCAAAGATTAAGCACAGTTGGAAGATGTTGCCATTGGGGTCTCATAACTTTGAAAATCTCGATTTTTTTGTATGAGGCCTAAAAAGTCCCTCCTTTCAACTTTATACATTATTTAGCTCTAAAGGCCAGGAAATGAAAATGTGTACTGTTTGGGCGTTTCATGTTTCCCGAATTTATTATGATTGCAAATATAGTGGTGTAGTTTAGGTTCAATCTTAACCCTTTCAGTGTCAAAAAAAATTTTGTCGGAATTAAAATCTAAAATTTTGCATTTAAAAACTTATAAAAGCACATACTTTAGAAAAAATTGCAATTGTCATTTTAACCCTCGGACAGTTTCGTCTGTCTTTCAGCAAAAACAAAAACATTAATAGTAACGGTACAGAGGATAACCGAAAAATAGCAAAGAGAGTACTTTTAAATGTCGAATATATTCGACAAAAACACTGAAAGGGTTATTTTTTTGCCAAGATATTGAACCAAAAATTCATCGATCGGATCATAAACTGAATAATCTCCGAAACCCCTTTACTGTACGGTCATGTATTATGAACGTTGTGTGTGCATGTTTGCTTTTTTGGGCGTCATCATTGAAAACTCAGTCGAGTGTGTTCTCATGCATTTATTTTCTATGGAAATGTATATGGTTTTTTTTTTTTTTTGTTCTAGTCTAATTCGTACTAGGCTTTGCCGAATAAAATATTGCCCAATTGTGTAATGATTTTGTTCATTTTTTTTTATATTTGTCTTTACAGTGGCGTAGCCTTGACATTTCTGGCATTGAACGGAGGCGATTGTGTTGCACGTTGTTGTTTCATTGCGCAGCAGCTCTCTGTGTAATTTGGTCACTATGTGTTCTAATCGAACGTGCTGCTGAGGATGTCCAACGTGGAAAGATAGGTTGGTTTATTTGTTCTAATTTACATTGTATTTTGGTTTTTAATTTTTTAAAAGCTTTAAAAAGACGACTTTTGTTGTTTAAACAAAACTATGCGAATGCCAATGTCGATAAAAACTAATATATTATTTGAATTGTAACTAATGATCTGTTTATATAGTTTGCAAAAAGTGAATATTTCAAAAGCCAAACTATGGTATAGAAATTTCAAAGCCTAAATTTGAAAAAAAAAAATTGTGGCAAAATTGCCATTTTGGTACTAGCACATTTTGTGGCAAATATATTCAAATGTTTTTTAAATATATATAAATTTAAATAATTAAAAATTATACAAACTTAATGATTATTACCATGGTACAATTATATAATCAAAAAAAAAAAAAAAAAATATAAATCTCAACGTTGTGGGCTATAATGTCAGAATAAATAAAAACAAATGCAACAAGTCGTTCTGTTCATTTTATATATTTTTAACATTTTACCAAAAACACGAAAAATTTATGGAATGTCAGATTTTCTTTTCAAAATCGAGTTGGGAATATGATTTAGATATTGATTCATCCACAAATCATAAATTTCTTCTTACCAATGTTGGAAAATTCAACTTTAAACAAATGGATTTTTGAAAATATTTTTCAAAACATCACACACACTTTGGCATAAAAGCTACAGCAAGAAAAAAATGTAATTTATAAGTTGCTATGGCCCACCTTGAATAATTGTACTATGGTTATTACCATTTCCGTTTCGTAAAATAGTATTTAATTAGAAAGTAATTGTAACAATCGAATCGTATATTAAATAACAACTCATTCTTTAATCTAATAAATATATACTTCAAACACTTCCTACGTTTCAATAAACGGAATATTATGTACTAAGTGAATCTGTTCAGTTATACGATCGTATATCATAATCATAATCTACACTGAAAAACTCCATTTCGAAAACTTCTATTCAAAAAAAGTTTATTTCAACTTCCCTTTAGTTTGCATGAGGTTATTTACCCTAACCTAACAGCAGACTAGTTTTTTTCATTTATTTATTTGACCATCATTCCCGCCATGTAATAACTGGCATTTGAAATTATCAAATTACATATGAACTGTAAGAGTCTGTTTTAATTATGTAAGCATAATTGACAGTGGGTGGATGATGTATGTGTGAGTGAATGTCGTCCAATCAGACTAGCCAACAAACCAACCCATTCGTCTGTCCATCCATCCATCCATGAATTTATGCATAGTCTTCAACAATATTCATTACTTTCAACAGTTTATGTCCAATGTGTTGTGGGAGTGTGGATCGTCATTGGCAAACAACGAAGCACAATAACAAATTCTGCCTGTTTTTTTTTTTTTTTTTTTTTTTTTTTTTTGCCACAATAACCTGTCAAAATAGTGTCACAGTAAAGCTAAACAAAACAAATGTAACTGTAACTGATATTTTTTCTTATTGTTTTTACTTTACTTACCAACATGACAAACAACACACACACACTCACGCTCAACAACAACAACCACAATGAATAGAATGGCCCTTTTGGACAAAACTGGCTGTCGTTGCTGTGGGACTAACGGGTGGCATAGTGTTCATGTACATTCAATGTAAAGCCTATTTACATTTATGTCATCGATGGAAAGCCCGAAATAGGTATGTATGTGTATGCAGGCAGTACTGGAAATTGTGGAAATGGACCATAATTTTTGATTAAAAAACATGTTGCTGTTGCAGATGATGACGATGATGCCAATAACCACAGATATGAGAAAAAACGATAACAACAGCAACAACGAAAAAAATAAATTATGTCAAGTGTGTCATTTGTTTTTGTTCTTTATTATCTGCTTTTACAGGATATTGCTGATACAAAATGCTCCCGAAAAAATACATCCAACATCTCCGCCATCGCCAAATGCACAACAACGTAATCGCAACAGTAGTTCTTGTAATCAGGCGCATAACATTGGCTCGAATGCTCCAAATGTCAATATAAACATTGATGTCAACATGGCAAATCCAAGGCCCACATCCAGTTATAACTACGCCTCAACAGTAGAGGTGAACGACGTGGAAGATGTGACCGATGGCAGTGATCGACTGCCCACCTCGCCACATCACATGCTGCAACATGCTGATCTCGATGTTGATTCGATGGTATCGCAGACATCGGCTGGCTTGCCCAGTCGAGCATTGAGTAAGCATCACCATTCACACCACCACCACCATCATCTGCAGCATCACCTGGCGACACAACAGCAGAATCCACAGAATCACAATAATCACTCGCAGTTGGGCCAAGTGGCTGTGGCGGCAAACATTGAGTGTACCCAGTCGCAGCATAACTATGATCGAGATTTTGCTTTGGATGATGTTGTTTCACAGATCTCATCATTCCGACCCTGTCCGCAGGGTTCGGGTAGTATGACACCGTTCCATGACTCTATACACAATGTTCTTGAACATTCGGAGGACTCCAGTCGAGTATCGGTAAATGATTTGTGTGTGGGTTCGCGCCAAGATCTTAGCACAGATGGTCTGTCGACTGATACTGGGCGGGAACATGCCATGCAATTGAGTAGTTTTAGTGGTAAGTGTAAACAATTTCTGTGAAATCGCATAAAAACTTATCTGAATTGTCCGAATTGTCCTTGCAGGAAGTGGAGATCATAAGGCACCATCAATTAGTTCCGGAGTTTCACATGCCGTGGCCAATGGATTGGGAGGCTTTGTTTATAAGCCACACACTAAACGATATTCAAATTCATCCATATTCCTAGAAAATCGTGATATACTCAATGATTCGGTAGACCTAGATTTAGACAGCGGGCACTATCAGAAACATGACTTTGGAAGTGGTGCCGGTGGTGCAAACTGTAATATACTCACGCCACCCGACAGTGATGGTGGTGACAAATTAGAAAAATACCTGGGCAAAGATCTAAGACGATACTCCGATACAAAACTGCTGGGCAGTGCAGATGTAGAGGCTTCGGATCCCATGCTGGCTTGTCACCCCACACAGCAACAGTTTAATCCCTCACAGAGACTGGCCCCGCGGAAACGGCCGCTCATTAAACAGTACTCTGAATCTGCTGCCACTACCGTACTTGATATGGCATTGCCACATTCTCCACTTTCACCGCCCAACATCCATGACATTCAGCCACCGCCACGACATATGGTGCGGCATTCAATGCATACTGTCGATATATTGGATACGTCGGACACCTCGTTGCCGCATCCAATGGCCGCCGATCTGTCCAATAGCAGTCAGCAGCCAGCATCTGCCAGCTATCAACAACATCATCAGCAGCAACAAATTGACAAAGGGCGACAGTTTTTCAAATCGTTGCCAAATCTGAGCAGTAGTTGCGAAAGTCTCATTAAGAAATAAGCCTGCCAGCCCACTAAATTGTTCACATGAGAAAGGGTTTGAAATTTAAATTTGTATTTTCGAAATTGTAGACCCCCATTAGCATTGGCAACTACCATGTATTTGTCGAGTATAAAATGGAGAAGTCAAGGGAAATTGAAAAGTATAACAACTATCACAACAACAAGGGTCTTAAATGTTGTTATTTCTCTGATATGTCCAATACCATGGAATACAGTTACGTCCACATATATATTTTTTGTCATTTGACAGTGTTAATTTTATCAATTATAGACATATACTTAATTGTACCGGTTGCTTCATTTATGTCGAAAGACATTATGGAACCGATTGGAAATAATCTTTTAAATTTTTAAGCGGATGTAGATATTCGAAGTTTTTAAATCAGTTTGATTCTTTATTTCATTTACAAATGGTTTTACTAATGTAGGTCAATTATTTAAAGGCGTCGAAAGTCTTATCACAACAGATTTTAAAAATGAAATTTTTTTTTTATTGTTAATAAAACAAGAATAAATTATTGAGGAAGCATATTGTACAAAATTCATTAAATGTTCAAATTGTAAACTATTTTATGCATCTTCAGTTACAAACATATCATATGCCAATTTTTTTAAAATCTGAAGGGATTTTAATGAATTCAAATTTTGGTTATCCATGGAACGATGCTATTTGAACGCAAAAGACACAATTTCTTTTTAAATACCAAAATGTCTGTCCTTAATTTAATTCGTTGACAAATATAGTGTTCCAGATAACATTATTGTCAAACACCAAACATGACATTTGAAATGTATTGCAATTTTGGAGTTGTAACTAAGCGAAAACTTCTCACTCTCGTCTCTTAGCCGAATATCCTTCATAAAAGGAGCATCGTTAGTTAGCATTGAATATATGATACTGTGAAATATCAAAAAGAAATAAGAGCATAATACATGACAGAATACTATGAACTCATAGATGTACGAATAATCTTTTAGTATTGAGATTATGTTCGCAATAATTCCTATATTGAGAAATAATGCATTCAATTAAAAGTTCTTCGGCTAAACAATATTTTATGTGAAGATTCTACTGATTTGTATATTACAAATGACTCATTTTTTCCGGTCGCCCTAAAGGTCTGGCTAACGTCTAAGCATGGCTGTTTTGATGATGCTTTGTCAATATTAAGTGGTTCAAATAGGTCAAGACTTTTATGTGAAAATTTTCAAATTCATTTCTGCAAGACATGACCCGGAAAAGTTGCCAGTTTATGAAAGAGGGATGGTCGACCTTAAATTTGATAAAAATTCTATTGGTGTAAGTGGTCTAATATAGGGAATATTCTACTGTGGTTTAATTACCACAGAAGAGAATGCAAATATTTTACTCGAGATTTAGCTCCGCGGAATGCAGAAACTGAAACTCAGCATTCAAAATATTGCGACAACTACCCATGCTGATATGTAATACATCATTGGTCCTGATCGTTGAAATCTGCAATTTTCTACGTGAATGAAGAAAAGTAAGGCAAAAATGAATTCCCCTACGATATGCGTCTAGAGTTTTAGAGCACAACATTGCATCTATTGAAATATAAATCTCACGTAAAGCTCATAGTCTGGAAAATGCGTTAATAGTAGAATATATTTCCAACAACTCCATTAAAATGTGTTAAATTTATTTTTTTAATCTTTAATTTCATCCTGTAGTATGTATATGTAGGAATACAATATACTTAACTATAACTTAAAAACAATTTTTTAATATAATATTAACTACGATCATTTCCTTTTTTGACATTTAAGGTCAATAATAAATGCTACAAACATAATTATCTACAAATATATATACAAATGTAGTTAAATTTTATTAAAATACTTATTACAACAACAACATATATAATTTTTAGATAAAACAAATTTTCAAGCCGAAGTTGTTCAATAACTTTATTATCAATCAATCAGGCATTTTTTGTATTTTAAATAAATAAATGCTGCCCTTACAAAGGGTATGGCTGGCTGGCAAGCTGCTTATTATGCTGGGCGTGTGGGGTAGACAGAAGTTTTACGAAAGCTATATTGTTTATCAAATCCGTACATATGTTCGTTATGCTTAACAAGAAAAATAAAAAAAAACATTATAAAGACTGTATATACGATTATATAAGAAAACAACAAATCAACAATTTTACTAGAAGTAGTTATTTATAAGCTAGCACACCCACACAGAAAATTTGACAATTAATATATAAACATTTTATTTTCCACCCGTTTTCTACTTTTTGTTTTTGTTATTTAATAAGTGCTTAAACGCAACGAAATTTATTATCAAAAAATCTCCAATTTTCTGTCTCTTAAATGAATAAAAATGTAAAAAAAAACAAAACTGAAAACAAAATCAAATGCTTTTATGAACAAATTATTAATAAACAAAATTTTGTAAAAACAAATAAAATAAAAACTATTTTTGCGTTAATTGATTTTTTCTAACAGCACTTGAATAGTGAATAATGATAGAATGGAAAGTCGCGTTTTTTTTCGTTTTTTCTTTCCACATTATTGGATAAATTAAAGATAAATAACACAAAACGAAAAAAAGTATGAATAATCTGAAACAATTTTATAAACTCAAATATAATGCAAAAAAAAAAAATATTAAACGAAATAATTATATATTTTTTAAACTATAACATGCGATAATGCAATTATCCCCGTTAAAGGCGAAAAAATAAGTCCGCGTTGGTATATGCGTATTTGAATACATCAATATGTATGTAAACAAATAAAATGTGTATGTAATAAAAATAAAAACAAACAAAATAATTAAATTATTTGTAACTATATGTGTTTAATTTCAATTTATAAAGGCCAAAAAAGGAAAATATTTGATCTATAATGGTCTGTAATGAAACCAAAGGTTCAAGGATCTAATTTTATATCCATTCAGAAAATACGTTCTATAAATTTTATATTTTCTGAACGTTTTTTCGCTTTAACATTTTCGCCTTATTCGGAATGAATATATACAGCTGATTATTGCTATTTCACCTTTATATTGTTATAAAGTTTAAATAACAATAAAAAGTAAACATTTTTAATAAAAAATCAAAAAATATAATATTACACTATTAAATTACAATGGGGCAACACACATTGCAACTTAAATTACAATATGGCGACTCACATTACAACTTCAATTACAATATGGCAACACGAATCTTTTTTTCAACCACCATTTTCGAAAACTCGAATCGGCATCTGTTTATTTGATTTTCTTTTTAAAAAAATTTTACTTTTTATTGCTATTTCAACTTTATAACAATATAAATGTGAAATATCAAGAATTCGCTGTAAAACTAAATTAATATTTGAAAATATGGCAACCTACTACAGCATGTGAAACAGTTTTTTATTTATTGTTTTGAAGTCAATTAGTGCAACAACTACAACAGATTGCAAATAAAATAACATTTCTATGATTGCAAAAACCGCTTTGAACGACATTGCCAAACATACACGAATAATGGGAAGAAATATGTGATTGAATAAAATTAATTTGTTGTTCTACCTACCTTTAAATTTATTAGCGAAATGTCGCACAAAATGTCATCACATTCTCCCACTCCCTTTACTCCAGAATATAAATTTTTTCGCTTTCGAAATTGATTCAGAATAAGGGGAAAGTGAAATGTGAAAAAATTCGCTGCGAATTCTGGTTCGGAATAACTTTAAAGGGAAGAGCGAACAAATTCACGGTGAATTGATGTCCAGAATAAGACTGACACATCTAGTAGCAGTATGAACACTATATATAATAATTTATGGTATTTAAACACACACATTCTTCTTTATTAGAATTATATAATTTTTTGGATTTATTGAATTATATTTTCATTTCATTCTTCATATAACGGCTAATATCTGAACTAGAATTCGAACATTCTTCAATTATATCAAAATGATCATAACATTTAAAGACACGATAATTCACATTCATATTTAACTGCATCAGTTTATGGGCATAATTTTGAGATTGCGTTTTAAAAATGCTGCTATCGTTTTCCGCGACAATAAGATGCAAATGAATATTTTGTTGTCGATATTTGTCGATCAGCTCATCATTGTATTCACAACAAATTGGAGATAATTTAGTTGCCGAATTATCGTCCAAACCTAGAAGATTATTGGAATTGGTACAATTCAATAGCCACAATTGACGCAAATCATATAGACCACTAATCAGAAACACGTGATCGATAAAATCCAAAGAAAATTGTAATTTCGAAAATTCATCATCAAATAATTGCAACGCTAAATGAGCACCTGCAGAATGACCACAAATGGATATTTTAGTGGCTCCAGTATTATGGGCATATATTTTCAGCCATTTATAGAAGTTTGTAATTTGTTGGGTTAATTGTTCCAAAGTCACATTGGGGCATAGGTCATAGTCTACCAACAGTACACGATAGTTGTGTTCGACAAAGGTGTGTACAATTGGACCGGCTGTTGATTTATCCAATTCTTGCCAATAACCGCCGTGAATGAAAACTAAAATTGGTGTATCTAAAAAAAATATTTTAGATGGATGATGGCAGTAAATAAACATAGAAATTATTACATGTTATCTTACCATGTTCCTGCTCCTTATAGTAAATGTCAAGTAGTTGATTATCATTTTTTCCTCCATAGCGGATATCCAAACGAGTTTTATACAAACGACGAGCTAAAGACGTTGCTGAAATGAAGGAAAACATAAATTCTTAGCAATAATTCATGCGAGAATGCGCCAAAATTATGGATCAAGCTAGTAATTTCTTGAGAATTTAGACATTTTTATTAACCCTATATGGGTGAAATTATTTTTTCATATCTGAATTATTATTTATATACCAATTTAATTAAAAATCATAAATATAATTTTTCGGTGTTATGATTTTCCTTATACATCTCTGAGAAAAAAGGGCCAAATATGAGAGGCTTTGATTGCAAATATACCCAAAACTCATGAATATTTATAAATTTAAAATAATAATGATGAAGAAGAATTTGATTTCGATTTATTATTTAATAAAAAATGAATTGGACATTTCATTTTGTTAAGGAAGTATAAAAATTAGGAACTATACATCTAATTATTAACTATAAGCAACATTCTTTATAACAAGTTTTTTGGACTTTTTTCTGGTATACATATTTCTAAAAATGTTAGCATGTTTTTAAACAAAATCTAGCATCTTTTCCTTAATAAAGGCTTGGTAACACTGTCCATCCATTTCGAATGTTTTTTGTTTATTTTCAGTATTCCATTCCCCACCTCTTCTCTAAACATCCGTGGAATTAACTTCACCTAAAACTATTCAAATATGTACAAAATCATAAATGCTATGCGACGTACAGATAACAGATCACACATTGGTCTAAGATGGAAATATATTTAAATACCAAAAATGTTGTTGTAAAATTGGTCTTATTAATAATATTTAAAGTAATAATAAGTTTTGTTGTGTTTTTTTTTCAAATTAAAATCAAAAGCTCCAAAGCATCTCTTTCAAATAGGTTTTTTAAGTATAAATATTTTCTATTATCGTCCGATTTATGTGTTTTCTATATTTTTTTTAATTTTTTTACATGCGATTTCGTTACGCTTTTAGTTTCTTTTTTTCTACATCCAATAACTTATTGTGAAACTTTAATGGAGTTTATAGAATGTTCATTACCTTGACGGAGTTTTGTATTTCAGCCGACTTTACATATCGACTTAATTCTATTTCGAACATTGTTAATGTAATCTAAAATGGTTAGTATAAAACTTCTAAATTATAAATTACATACCTTCTCGTGAAACATTTACAAAATTCTTTAAAACTTCTTCATTGGGTTTGTCGCAATCCTGGAATCGTTTTGTGTGCAAACTTGGCGAATATTCTCTTTCCAAATCTCCGTCGATTTCATTGTCAACCATATTGTATGTCTCTGGGTGGTGGTTCTATGCAAACTAATCTTGTTTGATCACTGTTTGTCTCGATTGCAAAGGCAAGTGGCACTATCACATTAATAGCTTACTATGTATACAGTGTGATTGAAAAGTGTTCGTACACAAAGATATTTCTATGCAGAATTGGTAGTATATTTATAAATTAAATATTAAAATTTGTTATTATTTTGCTCTTAAAAATTAAAAGGGAGAGTATAGACAAGGAAAGGAAATACTATTAAACTCAATCCTTATATCTAAATTTGAACTCAGTGGGTTGGGGTTCATTTAATTTCATTTTGTTGAGCTCCTGCTTTTGTGCATTCTGAATTTATCTCGGTTTATTCATTGTTTGGATATTATTGTTATATAAGTTAATATAATTATGGGTCATGTTTGTTTTACATATTCAATTGCAATGTAATAAAACTTGTGCAGATACATCGACTCAGATTAGGACGTGGCAAAAATTTCTTCTAAGAGAAAGCCATTTGGGTTGTGTTCTCTATTTTTTTATGAAAATGGCAAGTTTTTTCTGTATATAGAATCATGAATGCATTATAATAAGCATTCATAGAATAACTAGACTTTTTGAATATTATAAATGATTTTATGTAGCAAAACAAAAAACAACAAATTTTCTTTTACTGGACTTTTGGGTAAACGAACAACATTTTGTAATAATTTTTACAAATGTGTACAAATTATTGAGTAAACAAAGGAACCTAATTATTACAAAATATTGTTCCTTTATCCAAAAGTCCAGTAAAAGATTTGACAGTTGTGTTACTGAGTATTTTTATAAGGAACATTTACTGTAAGAATTTCCTTTTACCATCAGCTGATATTTATTCAGCTATATTGTCATGTTTTGTAAACAAACAACGAATTTGATCTCAAGCAAATTGATTGTTTTGTGAATTTTATTTCGAATTTAAACATTAAATGGGTATAGAAAATGCAAGTATTTATACACAACATCAATTTCCGCATGTTATCCATTTCTTTAAAATAAAAATGCTGAATTTTTTTGCTCCAAATTGTTTGTTGTTTTAATCAGCTGTTTCTGCAAGTGCTTGACATTTTCTTGGGATCACATGTTTTTGAGAATAGAAACAAGCATTTGGTCTATTCCGTACTGCAAGAATCTACTAAATTTTACTACTACCAATACGAATTTTCCTTTATGTTATCGAATATAATAGTAAATTGCTCTGTTCCACAACCTGTACGAATCTTCTATTAATAGAAATTGTTTTCAATTTTCCCTTAAAAAATGCATTTTCCAGAATCTGTGAGAATGTACAGTTTTTTACAATGATAACAATTTTTCCTTTATGATATCGGGAAAAAATTGAGCAAGTGTGTCATTAAAAAGTGATAGTGTGTACACTGCTAAAGAAAACTTCTGAAATCGCTATTATTCAAAAAATGTGTATATATTGGCCACACTCAAACTCAGCCGACTAATCGATAATCGACTTTTGCATTCCTCTTTGTTATTTAATACTAAACATTGGAATTTTTAATATTTTTGTTTGAGTTTGCTTTTTTCGACTCTTCCGGGTCGTTCCATTTAAAACTTTTTAAAATCGACCTTTTCTATGCTAGCAGTTAGAAGTAGATAACCGCGCTGTTTACATATATATGGACGATTGAGATCTCTTGTGCTTTCCGGAACTAGAAAGTGATTCAACGTTAACACAGTTTATCCGATTTGATGTGGAAGATTTCGCATCAGAAGTAGTTCGACCGAGGCACCTTTCAATAAAAGTAACCTCTGGATATGGTCATCCAATGTTTTCAATTTCTTCGACTTATGTACCTTTAGTCGTAACCATTCCAACTTATTAAAATCACATTGACAGTAAATGCAGGTAGGACGTAATTAATTCACTCCTCCGTCCGTGCAATAAATGTTCCACAAGTTATTACTGTTGAACTATCAAACACTAAACTTTATGTCTCTAAAACATTAAAGCAAAAATATAAAATTTGATCCAATTCGATTGAGAACCAAACCATTTACCAATTTATCTCAACATTAATTCTATTTTTTAGAATAAATCATCGAATAAATAAATCACAATATATCCACTATAACATGTCGTTTAAATGAATCTCAAATTTTATATCATAATACTAATACAACACCCTCCATATATATTTTCAGAATAACATGTCCTTGTTTCCCGCGTACTCTGGCGAAAATAAAGACCCTCATATAATCAACCAAGAGTCTACTGACCCACCTTCAACATCTGGGTGGTTGGAGAATACAAGTTTTCCACTCGACGTCATCAAATTCACAACCGGACACTCCACACAAAATCAACTTGCAGAAGATCTAAACTCAACCACCAGCGATGGATCATCATCGTCCGACTCCAATAGTGAAGACAGTGATGGCGAAAGTAAAGCTAAACAAAGAAGGAGAGATAAGACAAAAGAGAAAAGGAAGACATCAAAAGATAAGACAAATCCAGTGCCAACTATTCCTGAACCTCCAATAGTTCCATCTTTAGATTTTACTGGCAAAGAAGAATTTTACGTAGATAAAAACAAGGCTAAACAATACAATTCGATAAAAACTTTGCATAAACCCGCGTGCCCACGCTATCGCGTACATCATTACACTTTGGGACGTAACTATGGCTATGTTGGAAAAGTAAAATTAAAACGTTATTATAACTGCATAAAGTACCTGGAGACTATGGAGAAAAATGACAGTGATAACTATCCGCTCACGGAAAATGAGTACACCTCGAAAATGGGCGAACTCAATCGTAAAACAATGGAAAATTGCAGAGAAATACAAAATTGGCTAGATCTAATTGCTCTGCAAGATCGTAATCCGTACAAATGGTCTCGTTTGAGAATTGCCGAAAAGAAAATCGACTATATTGAGAAAGCTTTGAATTTCCACCCATTTCATAAGGATCTGTATTCGGTGTACATAGACACCATTACACAGTGCTATACCTCTCACGACGTCAGCAAGATGTTGGACACATTGTTGGCCAAGGATCCGCACAGCTTGATTTTGTGGCAGGCTCAAATTATGTGCACGCAAGGTACAATGGCCAGATGTACAGTGCCCGATGTACTGCGAATCTATGAACGTTGCATGAAGAAAATGTTTCACAATCCGAAATCCCAGCATGTCGCTACGGCCGGTGATCAGGTGATGATGCAATTATTTTATACATGTGCCCTCTTCTTGCGTCAATCTGGCCTCTATGAACAATTTATTTCGTTAATCAAACTATCTGTGGAATTAAACGTACCTGCCAATAGTTGTATTCTCGAGGATTTGGAGCCACGCGAGCAGGACGAACAAGCTTGTGTAGAGTTCGAAGAACTGATTTTACAATCGGGTCTGCCAATGAATGAGATTTGGCTGCGAATTGAAAAACTAAGACAGGCGTTCTTTTTCCTACCATTTCCTGGTGCGTCTGCCAAATGTTCTGATCCTCAAAGGATTGTTTTCAACGAAGATGTCTGTCATTACGTGTATCCGCTGCAGTCGAGGGAACACTCCTTGAAAATACTACTTTTAATTGTGAAACTTTTGAAGGTTCCATTTGTTCACAGTCATTGTTTAGCAATGCACCTAGAGGGAGATACTGACGCCATTGAAGATATGCTAGCCATCTACCTAAATCCAAATTACCATTTATCCCTGGATCATAAGGATTTCTTTGAAAGCCTCTACGATCTATCCAAAGAGATGGCATGTAATCCGAGTTTCTTAAATCATTGCATAGGTCATGAGATATATTCGGAATGTTTGCAAAAGTTCCTATTAAATTGTTCAAAGGCCTATGAACAAATTGACGACAAGAAACGATTATTGTTCCTGGTGTTATGGTCAAGATTTCAATGGCTTCTTTTGAAATCGGCAGAATTTAGTAAGAAATTAGACACAGATTTTGTAAAAAGTGGTAGAAAGCTTTTTAAGTCATTACTAAAGTTGCCAAACAATCGCAACTGCCTAACGCTCTATGTCGAATTTGCTCGTTATGAATATGCAGCCGGTTCGCCTTTGGAAACTGTGGAGAATATTTTTAAAAATCTCATAACGGCCTACAACCAAGAAGAAAATCTTAATTCCGAATTGGCATATGTCTTTCTGACATATGGCGAAATTCTTCTGAACTCAAAGATCACAGAAAAAGTCAGTATAATACTGTCAGGATACGCGCTGAAGGCTTCGGATTTTAATCATATAACGAATGCCAAAAAACTTGTTGCTCTAAACGTGCTCAAAGAAAAAGTTGGCAATCTCATTAAAATCGAAGAGAATGTAAATATTATGTTGTTGGAACAATACCTTCTGCCCGATAACACAGTAACGCATCTGAAAATGTACACACTTCTGCTGTACGTGCTACAACAGAAGCAGCAGGCATTAGAATATCTTCAGAAATTGTTGGTCCAATTCAATTCGAAGGAGAACTCAAGGCATCAATATCTCAGGGAACAATTCTATGAAATCTATATCAATATTTTACAGATGCCCGGTGGCAATAGTTATATATCTCACGCATTGATACAACAGAGCATTGAAAAGGGCCTCAGCGACTATCCCAATAATCTGTTTCTACTACAAAAATGGGGCTGTCAATCTTCTTTACCTTGGTTTAAATTACGACACGGATATTTAGCCATTGAGACATCTATTAAATCCATAGTTTTTCTCATTGCGTTGGCTCGTTGCCGATTTGTAAGCAGTTTGTCCGATATCAGTGGTATTGAATCGAGCAGTAAATTGTCAGATGCAAATTTACACTATCATGAAACGATAGTTCGGCAACGTATTTTGAATTTGTTTAAAATGGTTGTCCATCTTCAAAACACAAACTCGTCGTCGTGTTTGACGCAGTCGCCCTTACTGGCATTGCGACGCAACTCATTGTTTTGGCGATGTTATTTACGCTGCTTGTCGGATCAAAGCTGTTCTTTTGAATTGAGTAAACAATGTTTATTGACCGCACTGGACGAGTGTCCCTGGAGTAAGGCCTTGTATCTGGACGGTGCCACCTTCGTACCACAAGAACTATCACATTTGCAAGATTTAATTATCGAAAAACAATTGAGAATATATGCATTGCCAGAAGAGTTGGAAATTTTACGAGAACGTTAATTTGTCTGTGTGTGTTATCTGAATAATATTAATAAAATTAATAATAATATTAATAAAAGAAAGTGTGTATAAAATAAAATACAAGGTACAATTAATTTTTTATATGCTTTAATTTAGCTTCGACCCGAATTCAATGATAAAAGTTGTTTATTTGGCAGCATATAATTTAAATCGCGAAAAATTAATGAAACATTATGATTTCTTTCCAAAATATAGTAGAGAATACATTTAAATGTTTGTTTCATCCATAACAGAATAGTTTCTCCCAGAAGGCTACTTTGAGAAAAAAATGTGACCAGTTGATAGCTATACCAAATTTTGTAATATTATACCATTGTTCATATCCTTTAAATATGTTTCATGAACCATCTATGTTTGCTCTCAGTAATAGATTATAATGCAATAAGGATGATGTCATGTCGTCATCTGCGCAACCTTCTGTCATCATCACTATTGAGTATGTTAAACATACCGAAAGGGACGGAAATGTAAAATGAATTGTTTTTTTGTGTCCATATTTCGAGTACGATTTACGAAGGATTCTGAATGTTTGAATATAACTCCGTTGGAAGGAGAAGAAGTCATGACAACCATGGCATAATATTATTGTGCTATGCATGACAACATAGAAACATAGCCATTTCCAATGATGACTCACAATTAAAAAGTATACCATCAACAAAGGACAAACGAGGACACTTGATATGCTAGCTAGATCAAACGAATAATATGACTATTAATTTGTTTAAAAAAACATTACAAAAACATGCTGCACATATGTATGCAAATGCTTTCTATCTCAGAAAATATTTACAGTAATGAAATGTTGTTATATTTAGCGAGTTAATTTGACCCGCTAAATATTTAGCAACCATTACCAAAACAGACATTCTAATCAGTTGATCAGATTTCGTGACGATGTCATAAATATGGTCAATACTATGTCTACAAATTGCAATTGGCATACGTACTATATGCTGATTTATGTTAGGTTTATATCATGGGTTTATTTTAAGTAAATAAGGAATTAAACAAGTGAAAAAAGTCGTTAAGTTCGGCCGGGCCGAATTTTGAATACCCTCCACCATAGGTATACTTGACAGCAGCAACGTACACAGGATTTCATTTCGGGGGGGGGCCCGGTAGTACAAAATGAAAAAATTCGCTGTTGCAAACATAAATTTACTGTGAAAAAAATTCATTTCGGGGGGGCCCGGGCCCCCAGGGCTCCCCCTGCGCACGTCCCTGCTTGACAGATACTTGCAATGAACATATAGGGAACATACCAAAAAGTAGGCCTATACCGATTTATATAAACTATTATGTACACCAACATATACAAATTTCAGCAAATTTTAATGGGGATTTATCCTAAAATCCGAAAAACCCCAAAACGTTGACCGATATTGATAACGCATGCTAGAGTATAAAATCCTCAAACTATTGCAATTTAGAGCGCAAGTTTATATAAGGTATCATTATATGGGGGCTTGACCCTTTTTGGTTGAAAAACGCGTTCAAGAACCCCAAAATGCCGAAAATTGGGTGGTGTCCTTATGGGGGCTACCCGAAAAAATTGACTTATATTTATAATTTTTAGTGGAGAGATTTGCTTTTGAGTAGATTTTATTCGAAATTAATTATATTTTTATTTAATTATAATTATTTTTTTATACATACATACATATATTTAATTTAATTTTTAATATATTTTTTCTGTATACCAATGTTCAAGTAACTTTTTTTATATACATTTTTGTACTTATTTTATGTGATGAACTTATGTTTAGTATACTCTGAGTCCATGTTAAAATATATATACTTTTATTCTGCTGAAGACAGTTTTTTTTTTTTTGATTTTGTAGCTAACTGCTACTTTTGCTAGTTTTCGTTCTGACAATTTGGGAAATGTAGATGGGATATTATTTATTGTCGTGTTAATACATTACTTTTTTAATTTATCTATTACATATATTTCATATTAATAAGTCAATTTTAAAATGTGTGTTCTTCGGACTTTGAAATACCATGAATAAACAAATAAATTACAGCGAATATGGTGGAAAAACGCGCACAAAACACCGAAAATGGGAGGTAGCCTTATATGAGAGCTATGCCTAAACGTGGACCATCTCCGAACTTGACCTGATTGCAGACAAAATACGACTGTGATACAACAGACGGACATATATTTTACGCTGATCAAGAATATATGTACTTTTTAGGGTCGGAAATGATTATTTCGATGCGTTACAAAAGGAAAAACAAAACAAATATACCTTCCATATTATGGAGGAAGGTATGGAATTGACCCCCAAATGAAAAAGTCGCTCTTCATTTTACTTATTTTTTAGAAATTCAATTTCGTTTATTTTATTTGTCGTGGAATGAAAATTTCTTACAAAAATGAAATTTTAGATGAATATTAATAGTAAAACATAGTGAAACACAAATACATAAATATTAATGTATTAATAATAACGAACAGAATAGAATCACTCCATATGTTTCCATTGGTATATTAAAAGTACATGACTATCTATCTTCTAGAGTGATGATGAGTCATCAAAAGTCGCAAATGCTATCAACTAAGGACAATGCTATAATAATGTTTAAAATAAAGTATTTAATTCAAATACTTGGGTAATCTATCGTAAGTATGAATGTGTAACGTTATGCGTCGGCTAGACTAGATACAGATGCTTTTACTTCTTCTCTTCCTTTTGGTCCTTCGAATCGGCTGGCTTTTCCTCGGCATTCTGTTTCACATTCAAATGTGCTGGTCCTGTTTGCTGAATTTGGATGACGCGTTCATTTGATTTATCCTCAATTTGAGGCTTTGGTACACTGACAGTTAAGACGCCATCCGACGACAGAGTCGAAGCTACCTTTTCGGCATCATAACCTTTGGGAAGGACATATCGACGGACGAAGTGTCTCTGAATGTAACCGTGCTCATCCTCACGTTCTTCGTGTTTACCCTCAATGACGATGCAATTGTCGACGACTTTGACTGTCAATTCGTTGGGTTTGAATTGGGCCACATCCATACAAACTTGGAAGCCATCTTTACCAACGGGTGATACACGGTCTTCCTTTTTTTCACCGCGACGAGATCTGGCAGCTTGGCGTTCACTCAGGCGATTTAGCAAGCTCAAAGGTAGAGTATATCCGACAGAGTTAGTTATAGGTTCACGGTGGGCATGGCTATGGATCAAGTAAGGCGATAGACCCAAACCGAAATCGTTGCCATAGTAGGATGGAGCTTCACGATCCAATTCGTCGAGAAGGTTCAACAACAATGCTAGGCTGGACATTTTTAAACTTTTGTTCCTGTTTACTTTTTTCAACTGTGCGAAAATTAAATTTATTTAAGATTGTTTCACTTGTTTTTGCTTTATAGAATTTTTATTAAAACGATTGTTGTATTTATCGCGAACGATTTGCAACTTTCTTTTGTTGTTTACCGCTTGAATTCTCAAACTGCATTGAGTTCTGCCGGCTGGCGGCAGCTTTTTATATTTGTTTCCCACCCCTTCGTGAAAAAACGAGTGTTTTCTAGAAATTGTTTTTGTCGGAGAGTGAGTCAAACACTGTTTTGTTTCGAGAACTTTGCCGCCGTTCTCAAAACACGGGCAAAATCATATGGCATTTTCTCTTTGTGTTCGACACACACTGTTTGTAAGAGAGTTTTATTGATACTCTCTTACAAAGAGAATAACGACACGAGAAGAGAAAGATACACTAATTTTTTTCTCTTCTCTTGTTGTCATAATATTATCTCTTCGGACAAAATACAATCCATCGCAATTTGCAAACATATTCAGTTTCCTACGCCCTGGGTCAGTAAATATGTGCGTAAGTAAACAATATATGATATATGTATATAAATACATGTATATATATATATATATATATATCTGGAAAATTCCGATTCATACATGTGTAAGAATAATAGGGATATACAGCATAAGAATGCTTCATGTTGTCAAAGGACTCTTTGATGTGCGATGGGAATGGACAACAGTAGGCAACAAAAGAACTTTCCAGTTCAACGGTTAAAAATGTCTTTCGAATGATTTACCGGGTGGGTAAAGCACTGAACTGAAAATATGAATTTGCACTAGGACGACAAACATGTCATTTTGAATGGTATGCCAAATTGTTTTAAATAAATTCCAATTAAAATGGAAAGTATTCATTACAGGTGTCGTCTGGAAGAAATTATTATATCTGAATTATTACTATATCTGAAGGTGTAAACCACATCATTGCTTTATATATCCTGCAAAATAAGGACTCATTCTGTTTTATGTTCTCCGGAGACCTCATACGTAATATATACTTCTCTTCATTTATTGTAATGAGGACAAAGCTCGATAAATTTAAGACAGTGTTCATGGCATAATTATGGAAGATTCCAATTAAAATGGAAAGCATTCATTACAGGTGTCGTCTGGAAGAAATTATTATATCTGAATTATTACTATATCTGAAGGTGTAAACCACATCATTGCTTTATATATCCTGCAAAATAAGGACTCATTCTGTTTTATGTTCTCCGCAGACCTCATACGTAATATATACTTCTCTTCATTTATTGTAATGAGGACAAAGCTCGATAAATTTAAGACAGTGTTCATGGCATAATTATGGAAGATAGTCTCATTTTCAATACGTAACTCATAAGAATTTCAATTTCAAATATCGTAAAAAATTAATTCCTTTAAATTTTATGAAAGTTTTATACAGTAAAATTTATTTAATCCGGATGATTGCAGACCCCAATCCAGCCAAATTTTTCGGATTATCAAGGTTTTTAAATTGGTCTAAATTTTTATTAATAGAGATAAGTTTAGTAGTTTTATGTTTTTTTTTAACAATAAAGATATTCATTGTCAAAATATGAACTTTTAATAACAAATAGCGTCAAACCATGTCGTTATTATGGATGGTAGTCTCATTTGAGAAATTAATAATGACGAACGTCATACATCAATTTCAAATAAAATGAAAAATAAATTCCATAAAATTGTGTGTTGATTGGCATATTTTCAGAAAATTAAAAATTTATATTTTTTGAAGCTGCACATTATTTTCAAGACGTAACTATGGTTGTTACAACGTATATTTATTGGCTTCAGAAGAAGGGAACTTCAAAAAAAAAATTAATAAATATAAATAATTTAGCAATTTTTGCTACTGAACACATCCTGTGCGTACATTTGGAAGGAAGGTATTTTCATTTAAATTTTTAAAGCTGAATGTTGCCAAAAGTAAATTTATGAAAAAATATTTCCTTTTGTGAGCCCCTGTTCTGTCAAAACAATTGCTCAATTTGTAAATGTGTTAAAAAAAATTAAAAAAAAAATCAAATTCACTTGTAATTAAAGTTCAACATTGCAGTACTCAGAGAAAAATCTTTCTGAGTGTTAGGAAGAATTCTTATTATAATCATATTTGCAAGTCCATATTGTGAAAAAACTTGACATTCCATTAATTTTTTGCGAATTAAAATTGTAAAATTATGTCAAATAAACCAAACAGCCTGTTGAATATCTTTATAAGTACATAAATATTACAAGACATTACACTAGACTACAGTTTTTATTAATTTAATCAAGTAAGCCTAAAACGGCATATACATTACAACTTTTTACGGGGTTAACCTACTTTATGAGGATTTATTTGACATATAGGCAAAGGAATTGACAATTGAAACCCAGTGGGTTAACGAAATCCGGTTAAATGTAAACGTACTATAACTCTTGTTATTGTACCATGTCATGGCCTATATATAAGGTCATCGATACCTCTCAAGTTTGCTGACAAAATGCATTATTGTGAATTGACTTCCATTATGAAAACATAAACAAAGTCGAAATTTTTGACAGTAGACTTGAGAAAAAACAGCTGTTTTCCGATTTCGATTGCTATCTTGGTGACCTTATTAATCCTCCCTTATGAGGATTTATTTGGCATATATTCAAAGGAACTGACAATTTAAACCCACTGGGTTAACCAAATCCGGTACAATGTAAACGTACTTTAAGAACAATATTTATATGCTTAAATACTTAAAATCTTTAGAAAATATACATTTTTGCATAAAATTTTTTGGAATTTATTTTTGAATTTGAAATTGAGAGATTAATTCCAAATTAAAAAAAAGTGTTGCCATTATTAATTTCTCAAATGAGACTACCTTCTGTAATTATGTTATGATTCTTTGTAAATAAATAAAAAGTGAATTTTTGTCGTATTTTAGCACTATAATTCTGTACTCTAGTGTAAATGCAAGTATGTTGTATTTTTTTATAATGCATATGAGTACATTAGAAATATCCCAGTATTCTTCTTTATTCTGGAAACAGCTAGAATTTCTGGAAGAGCAGAACAAAGGACAGTATTTTTTCTGCATTTTCTCTTTTCACTTTTTGTTTTCTCCGATGAACGCTCTTGCATTTTGTTTTTTGCAAACAACAACTTGCCTTATAAACTTGCCAAGCTTTGTTCTGCTCTTATTTTAGTCTTGAAAACCGACAAGTTTGGTCGTTTGCGTTAGTGCTGTGCGCTTTGCTGCTAAATATTGCAACTTGTATTTTTGTATTCCCCGGCTATTGAAGAAGCAAAAGGAAGAAGAGGAAAATCAAAAAAGAAACATACATATACCGACAAATTGTGTGTGTATACAAAGAAGAATAACTAGAAAATGTCTCTGGTACCAATTTTGATGCACTTGGCCCGTGACTTGGATGCTGAACATCGCAGTTTGGATGATTGGGATCGTTTATTGGACGATGATTTTGGATTTGGTATTAATCCCGTGGACATCTTTCGTCCACGTTTGGCCCAGCTGCATGGCAGACGCCCATATTATTCGCCTTATATGCTAGGTGGTCGACGTCATCATCATCGCCAACACCGAGATAGAAATGAGATGACTAGTGTCATGCCAACAGTGGGCAGCGATGGCGGCTTCCAGGTATGCATGGATGTATCGCAATTCAAGCCCAGCGAATTGACTGTAAAAACTGTTGACAACGTGGTAATTGTAGAGGGAAAGCATGAAGAGCGTGAAGATGACCATGGAATGATTCAGCGTCATTTCATACGCAAATATACTCTGCCTAAGGACTACGATCCCAAGGACGTTCAGTCGACAATTTCTTCGGATGGAGTACTTACTGTAAAGGCTCCACCGCCACCTAATAAAGCCATAAAAAATGAACGTGTTGTTCCGATTCAGCAAACTGGTCCAGCACATTTAAATGTCAAACAACCGGAAGTCGCTCAGGCTATAAAACAAACCCAAAATGGAGCTGCAGCTGGAGAAAAGACTTCTGAGGAAAATAGTGCCAAATAAATGCTATGATTTCATTCAATTTAAACTTAAATAGACATTCCATATTACTCAAATTTTATTCGGACATCACTTTGAATTAGAATTAGTTTTTGTGTTCGTTTTCGTTTTTGTATTCTCATGTATTCATTTCACATTCACATTGTACGAGAAAAAAGACTTTGTATTGAATCTAAAATTAAAAAAAAAAAAACTGAATAAAATTCACTTTTGTAAAACTTCAAATTATATGAATTATTATTTATTACGTACATGTCGCTTTTGTATTTTGCAAAGAAACTACCCACGATGACTATAAGTTACATTTGTTAAATTCCCACCAAAATTCAGGACATTGAAAATTTATTTACTATTTTCTATGAGATTCTGTGCATAGCCTTCCAAAAGTCCTTCAGCGAAAGATTTGTATTTAAATATAAGTGTGTCTTGAACTTGATTTGTTCCAAATGTCCCAAAGGACTTTATTTAATTTTTTGTTAATTGTAGCCTCCATCATAAGATGGAGATGTTTGAATTAATTTTCAAAATGTTTTTCGGGTCCCATATTATATACAGTGGTGGTAACGTAATTAAAACATTAACGTGGTAAAAATTTTCTGATCAGCCCTCGATTCGGTGGAAGTTGTTTTTTAAGAAAAAAATTGGAACTTTTTGAAATTTTTACCATATGTAGCCCTTCTAATGCTGATTACAGCAACATATTTTTTTCGTGGGGAAATCAGTACTTCCCGAGATATGGGGTTCCAAAGTTATAAAAATACCCCCACGTTTTATTAAATATATTTAAGAATACCACTCCGAAACGTTTATATTTTTGGAGCTGATTACAACCACATAATTTATTGGGTAGACTTCGTGCTTCGGAACGCGTATAAACGTTCTTTCCAATGTAAAGTACATTATTGTTTACACTAGACTAAAAGTTACTTATAAATAACCGATCAGTAATAAAAAGTACAAATTCAGTTATTCGATCATAATTTTCTTTAAATTTTAATTTTTTATGTAGACGGCCTTTGGCCGGGGCTTAAAACTTTCTCCTATGGACGGGTGGAAAATTGGGCTACGCGAGCAAGATTTTCTTTAAATTTTAATGTTTCCTTAAATTAATGCTGGGCAACCATGGGAACTGGTTTCCCTTGTTTACTTGCATCAATATGCTCGTTCTCTGCGTTCTCTTTTTGTAGGACATTTCATATGACGGTTTCTACTTTACTCTCCTCTCTTTTTGCACACCTCTATTCTACATAGCCGGCCTTTGGCTGGGGATTTACGACTTCTCCTATGGACAGGGGGAAAATTGGGCTACGCGAGCAGAATTCTCTTTTAATTTCAATTTTTTCAGTAGACGGCCTTCGGCCGGAGCTTGAGATTTTCTCCTATGGACAGGTGGAACATTGTCAAATTAATAATTGTTATACATGATTGAATAAAATTAAATGCATATTTAATAATCCCCGGCCCCAGCCCATTTTTCGCCCCTAGCCTAATTTCTCAAGAAGTATGGATTTCCTCCCATAATAGTAACATATTTATGTAATCAGTATATATTTATGTAATAAGTATACAAAAATGTTAATGTTTGACCCCACCATAAAACCCACCCAAATGACTTCCACATACATATACGTATTTTTTAGTTCAATTTTTTTATTATTAAAACTTAACAATATAATACATACAAACTTAAATATAATCCTAAATTAAAATTAATGAAATCGGAAATGAACACAAATTAGTAGCAAATTGTACCATGGAAATGAATTTAAAACTAGTCAGTCAGGAATTATTGTAGTGAATTGGTTCGGTGTTATTTGGTGTCCATTTTTTCGGCAGCACCATTGCATGCTTCCACGTTCTTTTTCAATTCATCCGGTTGTTTTACATTCAGATGGGCTGGACCGGTCTGTTGAATTTGAACTATACGTTCGTTATTCGCTTTTCCCTTTATTGCCGGTGGGGGTGCTTTAACAGTTAACACACCATCTGACGATATTGTGGAAACGACATCTTTGGGATCATAACCTTTGGGCAGTGTATATTTACGTACAAATTGTCTCTGGATTAGGCCGTGCTCATCTTCACGTTCTTCGTGCTTTCCTTCAACCACCACCATGCGATCGACAGTCTTCACTGTTAGTTCATTTGGTTTGAATTGTGAAACATCCATGCAGACCTGGAAACCATCCTTTCCCACTGTGGGAACGACGAGATCAGATTTGTCTGCATGCGACGACTCTTTACGTGGACGAGTGTATTTTATTAGATAGGGATAATAGCGATTGCGTGGACGTAGTACTAAGGAGCGATGATGACGGGGTCTGAAGATGTCCACTGGATGTATTCCAAGACCAAATGGAGCCTCCAAAAGTTCTTCAAATTCGCTGAAGGAGTCATCCAGTTCACGTAGTAGAGGAATTATCGACATCTTTGTTCTTTGGTTATTGCTAAATTCTTCTTTTTATTGAAATGAAAAATTGTTTCTTGCTTTGCCTATTGGTTTTTTTTTTCTTTGAACGTTGACCAACAAAAGATTTTTGTGATTTTTTATTCTGCTCTGTAGCTTTTTCAGCTGTGGATATACCTTTTGTCGAGATTTAATTCAAACTGAACATACCGCTTTCGACGCCATTGCGGCTTATATACTCTTTACTTAACAAAGAGTTTTTTTCTCGATTTCTCTTTTAATATTTTCTAGAAAACATTATGAAAGAGAGAGAGAGATAGAGAACGAAATGGTCCGACCGGGTTGCTTTTCGAATTGTGAGAGGGGAGAGATAACAACGAAAAAGCATTTTTTGAGACCGGTATATTTAATAGTTTGCATATGTACATAGGTAAATATGTATGTACACTTTTGTTAATAACCCCATGGAAATTCTTGTCTGGAATATTGCAGACATTAACAAATTCTTGCTATTTATCATTCATATCCTTTTTTATTAATATTTATAATATATAGTATGTATGTATGTAGATGTAGTTGCTTACAACATTCATGAACCTTCTAGTTATTTCCCCAATCCAATGAAATGTTGCGTAGATAAAAATACATACAGACATACATTCATTTGTTTATGTTTTGGTTTTGATAAGATTCACGTTTGCAATGCGTCTCTATAGAATTACGGGTATTATCGCTGTCTGCTGAATCATCGCTAACAACAATTTGTTTAATAAAACAACAAAACCAAACCAAAACAAACAAAACTTTTATTTTTGTTTCAAGTTCGCATAGCAAAAACGAAGCATGCGAATATTATTTTATGGGAGAGAGTGGTTAACAATCGAAACAAAAGCAGAACCATTCGTTGTTTTGTTTTGCATGGTTGCCGGGCTGGCTGGCCCTACCCCAACAAATCTATAATCTAATAAGTGTATTCATTGAATATTTATTTCTATATCTATTTTTAGTAGTTCTATCACATTGGACATTGCTGTCAGAATTACGTGGACGAATTTTTATTCTTTTTTCGTGCCAGTATAGTTAATATATTTTACTATTTATTGATTTTTGTTTTTATGAAAATTTTGAATAAATCACATACTATTTCCTTCATATTTTTATTTATTTGCTGGTACTTTTACCCTACACTTTTAAGTACAGTATTTTTCGGTTAATTGGTTTACCCGTTTAATTGAACCACATGATGGGACAACAAAATATTGCATACGAAAACACATGTAAATTTCCTCGGATAATTAATCCCTGCTAATTGATTTTCCCGTTTAATTGGTTCAAAATTCATGTCATCGAAAATCAATTTCCTGTTATTTTTCACCGGTTAATGGCATTATTATTGAAAAAATCTGGCATTTTTATAGGCCCATGGTTCCTTTTGAGAATATGAATAGAATCACTTTCTGAGTCGATTTATGCATGTCCGTCCGTCCGTCCGTCTGTTGATGGGTTTTTGGAAATTCGTACTAGAACGGTAGAAAAGTACTAAATGTGATACCATTTGTATTGAGTGTAGGATAGATGTACTAAAGGGTTTTTTGGAAATTCGAACTATAACTATCCGAAAAGTATGAAAATGTACTAGGTTAGGTTAGGTTTGGGATGTACGGCTGTTGTAACAACCGTCCACTCGGAAACTATGTCCATTGTGATCATCCTTTATGTATAGGTGTACCTATAAAGAGAAAGAAGAAAAGATAGTGGAAGAGTTAGTTAGAATAGGTGGGAGCGGAAGAGACATTATTTTAGCCAAATCAATTTTTTGACAAAGCCTAGAATTAGGTTAGGGTCTATTTTGGAGAAGAAGACTAGATTATCAATTTCATAACATCCAAACTGTTTATGTCTTCTGCTGATCAGCGATGGACATTTGCAAAGGATGTGCTCAATTGTTTCCACTTCTTCTTCATCCTCACATAGACGACAGTAATCCTCTCCACTGGAGTCCCACTTAGAAGTGAGAGATCTAACTTTGCAGTGACCAGTAATGATCCCCACAACGATCTTAATCTCCCTCTTGTTGTGATCCAGCAGCGAAGACGTTCTTTTATGAGAGAATTCTGGCCAGATAGATTTAGAGATTCTGCATGCAGGTTCCCTTAGCCATCTGTTGCCGACTACCTCGCAATAGAACGCGCGGATTCTGCCAATGAAATAGCTAATAGGGGGTTTCACAGATCTCTCAATCAGAAGACTGGACGACTGTGACCCCCCTCGAGCAAGCTCGTCGGCTATCTCATTCCCTTCAATATCGTTATGTCCTGGAACCCAGCATAACCCAACTATTTGACGTATATCATTCAGAGCGGTCTTACAATCATGAACTGCTTTCGAGTTTATAGTATGCGACTTCACCGCTTTCAGGGCCGCCTGACTATCTACGTAAATAGTCACCGGTCCTGTAAAGTCTGTATTAAGTGCTTTTACTATCTCGGCCGCTTTCGTGATTGCAAGAATCTCTGCTTGAAAAAACGCTACAATCATTGTTGAGTTTATATGAGTTTCGTATACCTAATTCCCTGCAGTAGACGCCTGCGCCAGTGCCTTCTTCCATCTTGGACCCGTCTGTGAAGATTGACAGAGCTGGCAGAGGTAGGGAGCCACTAGTCCAGGATTCCCTGTTAGGAAATTCGACTTTAATGTCATTAAAATCCCTGTGGAGGGGAATATAATCACTGATATGACTATCCCCCCTAAAAAGGTCATAACTTGGCGTTATGTTTAGAATGTACTAAATTTGGTACAATTTCGTAGCATGTGAATGGAGTGAGCTAAAAACTTGAAATTTAGTATGTAAATTAACGTTGAGAAGTAGGGTCGATATGAGGAGAGTTTGGAAAGTGTGTACTCATGTGTACGAAAAGTACTATATGGTACTATATTTGGTACAAATTTGATTTGGAGGTACAAATCGAGCTGGAATCCTGAAAATTGAAATTAACATTACCATCGGAGTGTAGGATTGGGATATGTACGTAGTTTTGGAAATTTTTACTTATGTGTACAAAAAGTACTAAATCGTACAATAATTGGTACAATTTGGATTTGGGTGAACGGATATAGAGCTGGAACAATGAAGTTTGGAGTTAGGATCATTGTAGGGATGTAGGATTAGGCTCAGGATTCAGTTTAAGAAAATAATACTTATGGGTACTAAATGGTACTAACTGGAGCTAGAATCATGAAATTTGGAGTCAGGATCACTCTTGAGGTGTAAGATTGAAATATGTAGGAAGTTTTAGAAATTTGTACTAATGTGTACTAAATTTGGTACAATTTAAATTGTGGGTGAACAGATAAAGTTGAAATCATGAAATTTTGATTTACGATCATTGTGATGGTGTAGGGTTGGAGTATGTGAGAAGTTTTAGAAATTTGTACTAAGTGTACCAAATTCGGTACAATTTAAATTGATTAAGGATCACTGTGGAGGTGTGGGATTGGAGTATGTAGGAAGATTTGAAAATTGGTATTAATGTGTACTAAATTTGGTACAATTTGAATTGTGGGTGAACTGATAGAGTTGGAATCCTAAAATTTTGATTTAGGAACACTGTGGAGGTGTAGAATTGGGGTATGTAGGATGTTTTGGAAATTGGTACTCCTGTGTACTAAATTTTGTACAATTTGAATTGTTGGTGAACCGATAGAGTTGGAATCCTGAAATTTTGATTTAGGATCACCATGGAGGTGTAAAATTAGGGTATG